TCCTTTCTCTTTCTCAGACAAGCAGTGTTCATGTGGAACCTCTGCTTTTGCCTGCTCTCTCTGGCTCTCTAGGATGTGGGTTCTCCTTTCTGCTTATCTTGTGGTAAGCTCACCACCCTGTAGGGAAGCCATGCAGGTCTCCAGTTGCTCTGCCAGGATCTGTGAAGTCGGCCTAACCCAGTTCAAGGAGGAAAAATAGTAGCTTACTGTGTCTATTGGTCCAAGTGGAGTTCTTTTATATTATAAAACGGACACTGTATTATAATTCTCTCTTGACTCCTACATATATTTCTCAATTGGTTTAGAACATACCTTCCTATGTTTTATGATTAATTATTTCCAAGTATCTATAATTGTTATATGGGAGCTCTGGTAGCATAGTGGCTAAGACACTTGCCTGCTAACCAGACGGCTGGCAGTTCAAACCTACCAGCCACTCCTCGGAAGGAAGGTTGGGCAATCCTACTTCCATAGTGATACTGCCTCGGAAACCCAAGGAGGGGTCGCTATGAGTCGGGTTTGACTCGACGGCACATAACAACAACAACATAATTGTTATATAGGAAAAATTTTTGTTTATTTAACAAATATTTACTAAGGAAAGAAGTAGCAAACTAGAGTTCCAAAAGCCAAATCAGACCTGCAGAGAAATTTGGCCCAAGGATGGATTTTATTTTTGTCATATATTTTTTTTAAATTGTGAAATTTCATGATATGAAATCTATATTTCTATATCAGTCCTTTCCACTCTATCAGTTAAAGAGGCAGGGGTGGTAGTGTTATGTGACAGGGGTATAGGCAAGATGGTTTTTACTTCCGTACTTCAGTTTTCTGGTTTTGATACCAAAAAATATTAAAGGCATTTACTATAGTTGGTTTACATTGTAAGTTTAATCGTGGAACTTTAAGCAAAACTCATAAAGAGCCCTGTTTCTAGTAACAATTTAATAATACATGACCCTCTCACAGCATTCCAGCCTGTATGGTAGTTTATTGCAATACCACTCTAACAACAGACTTTTGAGAGTATATTATTCAGAGATAATTGAACACCAAAAACCCACCAGCCACTCCTCGGAAGGAAGGTTGGGCAATGTGCTTCTGTAGTGATACCACCTGGGATGGGTCACTATTGAGTCTGATCCGACTCGAGAGTAGTGCATTGTGTGTGTGTGCTTGTTGTTGCAATGTTTTTAAAAACTTCCTAATTTTGAATATACCTATATATGACACAAAATTCAAAAGTGACAGAAAGTCATAAGGTATAACAAATCTCTTATGCTTGTCTATTTCCATGTATCCAGAGTCCTGCAAGGACCTCTGGTTGTGTAGTGGTCAGTGTATTTGGCTGGTAACCAATGGTCAGTGCTTGGAACCCACCAGCTTCTCTGCAGAAGTAGTCTGCTTTGGTAAAGATACACAGCCGTGGAAACCCAATCGAGGTCGTTATGAGTCAGAATGGACTGGATAGCAGAGAGTTTGGTTTTTGGAGTGTCCTTCTATAATGGCATTGACCATTACCAACTTTTCCGTTTACCAATTCTTCCAGGGATTTACTATGTGAGATTTCATATATAATCATATACCTATACAGTACATATGCTTTCATGCACCTTATGGTAGCACATTGTACACACACACACACACACACACACAGAGTTGGGTATCTTGCTTCTGTCACTTTGTAGTGTATCTTGGCAATCTTTCCAGTTTCAATCATGAAAATTTCTGCCAGACTGTTTTGTTGCATTTCGTAGAGGTTGTCCCAATTTATGTTCCCACCCACAGGTGATATGTGTGTGCCCATTATCTCACAACTTGGCCAACATAGTAGCTTTTCACATTACTTCCATTTTTGCCAGTCTGAGGAAACAGTGGTAACTCAAGTTTAAATTTGTGTTTTTGTTATTTTGCAATAACAAAATTGAAGGTGAGCATCTTCTTGAACTGAATTTAAAATACTTTTGCCGTTTGCCTTTTCACTTTGTTTTTATTGCTATGGAAGACATTTTAAAAATGTGTATCAATTAATTAGGGTTTTTTATGCCTTTTAGATTTTGTATCATTAAGAAAACATTGGAGAACATAAAAAATAATTCATAGTTTTTTTTTTTTTTTTTTACATTTTACTCTGGTCCATCTGTAATTTTAGAATAAGGCTAGGAAGTATGCAGTTTTACTTCTGAAGCAAAATGTATATATTGTCATACTGAGATCATAAATAAAGTGTAATTCTTGGTTAAGAGTTATTGCTGTATAGTTCCTCTGAAGGAAGGGTAGATTGAACTTTTTTTTCATGAATTTTATTTGTATTTTAAAGTAACACTTTTCAGTAGAAAACTCGAAAAATACAGGAGAGAATGAAATTTAACCACAACCCCAGCACTACATTGTATATAGCAAAATTGGTATCATCTGTATCAGAAATAGTTTTCACTTTTGATTATAAACATGAACATAGCCTTAAAATAGTTGAAGTGGTTACTTAATATTGTGTTAGAATTTTTTTTAAAAAATGCTTTTCTGAGAAGAAATCTCAGACTTTTCAAGGAATAAATTATCTCAGTTTTAGGCTTATCTTTAAATCCTGAAAAATTCTGAGGATCTCCGTTTTAAAGAATTTACCTGAGGGCGTTCCGTCGCCAGGCCAGGTTCTGTACAGGGTTGGGAAGGCGGGTCTGAGGGCAGGGCGGAGGGACCTCAGCGCAGCGGCGCTCGTCACCGAGTTCCCCCGACGGCACGCCCGGGCTTCGCCGGCCCATGAGGCCTTGCGACGCCCTGGCCCCCGAGTCCACATGAGGTTGCCCCATGGCCTCCCGCGGACCGTGGACCGCAGCGTGCGAGAGAAGCCACCTCCTGCCCGGCCACGGACAGCCGAGACAGGGCTCAGCGTGCGGCGACCGCCACTGCAGCGTCCCCTAGTGGCTGCAAAGGCGAGGGTGGCTGAGGGAGGGGCCTTGTGCCCTGGCCCGGCGCCGCCCGGCACTCTCGCGTCTTGTCCGCTGTGAGGCTCTGGTCTGGCCCTTCTCTTCCAAGAAGTTCATGATAAAGAGCTTTCCTAGACCCTGTTTGCCTCTGTGACGCTTTGGCTGCACGTCCCGACTTGAAGTTCAAAATTTTGGCGCAGAAGGAACCCCGGCCCCGCAGACGGCCGCCGGGTGTCCCCAACGAGTAGGCGAAAGCTGAGAGGGCTTAGGGAGCTTATCATCCTTGGTTCCCTGGCCGCCCCCTTTGGGGCTGTTTTGAGAAGTTTTACACTTCCGGGGTTGGCTCACTTGGTTTGTTGTTCCTCGGTTGCGTTGGTGGCATGTAGTCTGTATCAAGGGTCGGGGCTGAAGGACGTCGCCCGGTGCTGGGCGCGGCCCTTTAAACCTTTCGTCTTTTAAACTTCGAGGGTATGGCCGCAGCCCCTCCCCTCTTAGCCGCTGGCAGCTCCTGACCCACCAGGTCCTTCCCCTCGGTCTCCGCCTTCCAGATGCTTTGGAGTCATGAGCCGGGAGGGCCAGGGGACCCGTCTGATAGCGGAGGTGATCAAAGGTGAGTGCGCGAGGGCGTGGGGCTTCCGGATCCCGAGTGCCCCCCCCCACCTCCCCGCGCCCCTTATTTAAAGGACATCTGGCACTAAGGGCCGGGGGAAACCCCTAGGTGTGGGCCAGGAGGGCAAACGCCGAATCTTGGGCGTGAGTGACCTCCCGAGATTCTGGATCCTCCCTCAGGCAGTGGTCTTGCTTAGGGACGCATACGCGCATGCATGGGTGGTTGTGACCCTTGTGTACTCACACTCACTAACTAGTTCGTAAGTTGAGCCTCTCCACTTAGGAAAGCAAACAACCTTGGCCACTGTACACGGGATCAAGGATCATTTGTGGTGGGGAAGAAATAAGCCTTGTCATTCGTTTGAGTGTTTGTGGTTGCAGAAATTTTAGTTGAGTTTACAAGGAAACTAATACCGCGTGACTTGAGTGGCGTACAGAAATGTTTTTAAAAATCACTGTGTGGGGAAAGGATGCCAGCTGTGTCCTTTTTTTCTTCTTGCTCTAGTGAAAGTGTATGTGTGTGTGTGTAACCTATTAATGTGTGTGCGCATATATGTATTTAAAGTTGTACTTGATTTTACATTTTTGAGGCAAATTCAAGCGTAAGGCATTCTACTAGTTCTAGCTCTAATAGTATTACTATTTGGATGACTTTGTTTTGCCCGGGTCTTTTTTTGGCAGTTCTTTTTTGGGAAGAGGGGTGGAGCCACTTAGCATTACTACCTGTTACCAACCTTGCTAATTGTTAGGACCTCCCAGCAGCCAAACTGCACTTACGCACACAAGATCATCTCAACCTCATCATGCAGAAACTTCTCGTTGCTTGTTTTAATGGTTGTTGTTGTTGTTGTTATTTGCCGTCGAGTCGGCCCTGACTCTTAGCGGCCCCTCCTTGGGTTTCCGAGGCAGTATCACTACGGAAGTAGGATTGCCCAACCTTCGGTAATGTCTAATTGTAAAAGTACAAAAAGTCACAAAAAAGTAGTGATCCTTAAGAACAGTTTAAACATGGTGTGTTGCTGTTCTGTGAATGTTAATTTTGAAGCAATGTGCTATTTGAAGATCGTTCTTTATAGGATGTGTCGAAAACATAGCAAAAATCATAAGCTTAGTATAAGATTGATGATTAGTCATCAACTGCATGCTGTCATTTGCTGATATTTCTTAGTTCAGGGCAACTAAAATTTTCTAACGAAAGGTTCCTCCAGAATTCAAACTGTGTAGTTACTTGAAGTCATTATTAAAACTTAAGGTGAAACGTAATTTCTTTTTTAAAAAATATTTTCTTATCACTACCCACCAAAATAGTCAGAGTATTTTGATATTACCCATTGCTCCCCCACCTCCATCTGATACATGCATGGAAAAAATAAAAATTTGACTTCATCTGAAAAGAGTTGCATCATGATATAAAATGATTTTTAATAATGTGAAGGAAGGAACATGACAATTTTTCCATTTCAGATCGCCTTTGTTTTGCCATTCTCTACAGCAGACCAAAGAGTGCATCAAATCTACATTATTTCTCCATAGATAATGAACTTGAATATGAGAAGTAAGTATGCACTTGTTATTCTTAGTACTTGTTTTTTTTGTTTGTTTGTTTGTTTTGAAGACTTTAGAGGTATGTTGATAAATTGGGTAGCCATGGAAAATACAAATATGTTGATTGAAATTGCAGGATTTTTTTTTTAACTTGTAGTAATAAAATGGATCCTTATAAAAACAAAAAATCCACTGCTATTGAGTCAGTTCTGACTTAGGAACCCCCATGGGTTTCCAAGGAAGTAAATCTTTATGGAAGTAGATCTTTGGGTGGGGGGATTGAAGTTAAAATAACCTCCTTAAATTTGAACATCTATGTTTGAAATTTAATAGTATATACCACAAATGAGACATAAACTAGTGTACTAAAGTAAGACTGTGTTTCTTACAGTGGAAGAATATGGAAAACAAGTTTTTTATTTAGAAGGTGTTTTTATATGTTACTTGAGGTTAGATTTAGATGATGCAGGATCTAACTAGTTGCATTTATTTTATAGGCATTGTTTGCCAGAATATTTTTTCTGTTTGTAACATGGTTATCTGTTAACTTTATGACTGATTAACAATTTGGTGTATGCCTTTCTTAATTTGGTCTGTAGCCCCAAAAAATAGACATTTATATTTAGAGCATCTAGAATATACATATGCATTCTTGTTTTTTTATTTTCAAAGCTTCTATGCAGATTTTGGACCACTCAATCTGGCAATGGTTTACAGGTATTGTTGCAAGATAAATAAGAAGTTAAAGGTAATTTTTTTTTTTTAACTTAAGATTTACTTTAAGTAATCATTGTTAGCTTGGGAGAAAAAGAAGGGAAACGGGACAAAGGGAATGTCATGTTTTTCATTGCAGTGGTGGTTGGGACATACAGGTTTTTTTTTTCTTTTTTTATAAAATCATACTGTATATGTATACTTGTTTCCCTAAAATTTTGATTGGACAGGTTAAGTTTTGGTCATTTAGGTAGATGTTACTCAAATACTCTGAAAAGCCAAAGTGGAAATTGAATAATGGAGGAAACCTTTTACTTTCTGACTTAATGGAATTGAAACCTAACTAGAGAAGCTCTTCCTTTGATCTGGTCATTGTTCTTCCTGCCTTTGGTAGAGTGCTAGCAAGCTAGTAAGAAAAATGGCCTCGTCTTACTTTGTCTCAGTGTATCTTGAATCTCCCATGACTCTACTGAGATGCTTTAGTCATATTATTAAGGAACAGGAAAAGCTAGTGTATGCCACCTAGCTTTAAGGCTATATCTCTGAGAGTTGCAAAAGTATATTTCTGTTGATTAGAGCTTAGACCCCATTTATTTGTAAAAAAAAATTTTTTAAATATTGGTCATACCCAAAATGAAGTATTTATGTATTGTTAGTAGTTCCAAATTAGTCACTATAAATTATCAATGAAAAACTAAAAAATTTGGGAGCAGGTACTTTTTTTTTTTTTTAATTTTATTTTATTTAGATTTGGGTAAAGATTTAGAGAGCAAATTCACTCTCGATACAGCAGTTCACATATACTTTGTCTCATGTCATATACAGTTCACATATACTTTGTCTCATGTCATTGACCACAGTTTACCACAATGCAACAGCTCCCCTCTAATTTCCTCGCCAATTTCCTCCCAGTGTCCATCCCTCCATACTCTCCTGCCCCCTAAGCTGTCTCCCTGTGCATAAGGTGCCCTTCCTTCTCTCATGATTGTTCTCTCAAGGGCATGTGTCCACTTGA